TCTCAAAAGTATGTGGAAAAAGTGAAAACTGAAAAAGTTTTTTTTTTCAGATTTTCAAAGGGTCAGATTTTCCGGTTTTGCAGGGGGAAAGTCGACTTTCGCCAAAATCCAATTTTTTAGCCGAATGAACGTTGATTCCAACTATTTAAGCGATGGGCTATTCAGAACTCTCAAAAGTATGGGGAAAAAGTGAAAATTGAAAAAAAAAAATTTTCACCCGGAGCCAAAGGGTTAGATCTTGGATTTTTTCAGGGGGAAAGTTGGTCAAAGGGTCACGAGGGCCAAAGTGCCAGATCTTGAATTTTTCCGGGGGGAAAGTGGACTTTCGCCAAAATCGATTTTTTTAGCCGGGTGAACGTTGATTCTAACTATTTAAGCGACGGGCTATTCAGAACTCTCAAAAGTATGTGGAAAAAGTGAAAACTGAAAAAGTTTTTTTTTCAGATTTTCAAAGGGTCAGATTTTCCGTTTTTGCAGGGGGAAAGTCGACTTTCGCCAAAATCGATGTTTTGAACCGGCTGAACGTTGATTCCAACTATTTAAGCGACGGGCTATCCAGAACTCTCGAAAGTATGTGGAAAAAGTGAAAACTGAAAAAGTTTTTTTTTCAGATTTTCAAAGGGTCAGATTTTCCGTTTTTCCAGGGGGAAAGTCGACTTTCGCCAAAATCTTGTATTCAAACGCTTTGAAATCGCTAATGATGTCACACTGACGGGCGAGCGTTGGACCAATCACAGAATGGCGCGGGCCGACCTAACCCAATCTTAAGGTGCGCCTCGGCCAATGGAGGACAACAACTCCCCACTCTCTTCTTCTTCGACCAATCGCTTCTTCGTCGTTCTTCGACGTCTTCGTAACGTCATGACCGAAAAATTGGCCTCGAAAGCGACTGATTTTCAAATAATGATCATAAGAGGCAATATTTCTCCATAATTTTCGCCGTTTAGCTATCCATGTTATGAGGAATGTGTGAGGGGAATTGGAAAGAATTGAGCGTCATGCAAGTTCCCTATTTACTTGGAAAATTCAAAAACTGAAAATATCCGAATCTACAGTGCGGCCCGTCGAAAGGACAATTTTAATTCGCAGATAAACAAATCCCCTAAATTTCCCCACAAAATCTATAAATTCTTGTCTCAATTAAATTTGATCGGCGGAATTAATTAATAAAATCTCAGTGCAGTCAATTAAATTTTCTCACTCAAACAAATGATTCAACATTTCTCTCTCCTTGTATTGAGATGTTCCGGAATGTAAATATTCCATTCAACTCATCGATTTCAAAATCCACTCATGCGTGTACCAATTTCGTATTTATTGGGGAATTATTAGGGGATGTGAAATGATAAAAATGCAGTGAGAATTCACTATTTTTTATTTTCTTATTTACAAATAATATACAACGTATCCGCTTAGCTGTCAATTTTCTCGGTGGTCTCCCCGTGAACTCCTGTCTGATCTGCCTGCTCCCCAGCCCCAATCGCCTTCTGCTCTTCGTCCATGTTCTGCGTGAATTTGAAGAGAATTGGAATTTGCTCCAACGCTGGATTGCGAGGCTGGAGGCACCTGATCCACGAGAGCAAAGAGTCTTTACTTGATGTTCCTGTTGCACAGATACCGAAGATCGTTTGCTCGTCCTGCTCGTGGATACTGCGCCGACGTGCTAAGGCTTCGCGATTTTTCTTCCAGAAATTGACTTCGAAATTTGAAATATCTACGAATAAAATGACAAACACGTTCATTACTCCATCCATACTTGACTACTAAATTTCACAATTGAACAATTTGCTCCATGTAGTGTTTAAAATAAGAGTGGAACAACCCATATCGTTCAATTTCATGTAATTGAAACTTAAGAGGAGACTACTATAAGTTTTAAATGTGGCCACTGAAGTTAAGATCTCGCACACATTAAAAATCAATATTTATGCATAAAAACGATGAATTAGTATCAAAATAATTCTTATTTATCGTTCATTTGCCCCGGAGATACTAAAAATGTTATAAATATTCCAGTTTTTTCAAAATTTGAATCACGGAGATTTTTCTTTCAATTTTTCAAGCTATGTAGGATAACAATTACGAATTATTATTTTTTATTCTGTCTCTAAATGCTCAATTTCCCTTCGTTTACGTAGAAAATTACACTATTTATGCAAAGTAGCCAGTAAATGGCTTTCAGACTGCAAAAAAAATGAAAAAACTTTTCAATAAAATGAAAAATAAAAAACAATGACAAATGTTTTCGCGAAATAAAAAATTCTGTTGATTACCTACCCAAATGTGTAATTCACACCTTACAAATTGAATTTGAAAGATGTACTTCGCAATTGTAATTCTACACATTTATTAAAAAATAAAAAAAATCCCATGACTGACCATGTCTCAAAATTTTAATACTTTCTCCCTCGCGCGAAACCTTTGTAAAAACCATCGACTCACCATTGATGTCATAGCCCTCCTGTTTCCACGTCTTCCTCGGCTCAGCCCTCAACAAGAAATAATCGACAGCCCCCTTGGAGATCCAGAGCTTGAAAGGCCCCTCGACATAGGCAGCAACATTCTTGGGATGCTCTGCAATGAGCCTCTCCTGATCAGGACTCGAGGCAGACACAATCCAAGTCTTATCAATGGACTCCTTGACACTCGCAGTATCAAAAACAGTGATCCTGCTCTGAACATCAGCAGTCCCAATCTTCTGAATAGCCATCTTGGCAAGATCGAGGGGATCAGTGGGCATGGGTTTGGGCCACGGCCAGGGGTTCAGGTTCTTGAACTTTCCCTGCCAGTAGGTCATCCTCCTGAGCTTCCTCAGAGGCACCGCCAGGTCCCCAAATATATTAATGTACATTCTCTCGAGCTCCTCATCTGGTATCACTCCATTGTCCTCCATCTTACACAGGAGATCGATTGCACACTGTTGTTCACGTGGATATAGCATGAACTCAGCCTGCAGGAGATTCTTGCTGATAAATCTCCCCTTGGGCAGGGTGTCCGCCACTGCTTTGTACACCTCCAGGTCCTCGTTCACCCCGAACTCGTCCATGTACCTCATGGCAGCGTAGACAAACTGCACGTGACCTGTCTTCCTGGGGGGAGAATTCTTGTAAGTATAGATGACATTCAAGTACGTCTCCTTCTCCTTCTTCTGCTTGCTCGCTGCTGAGAACAGCGAAACCCTGGCATTTTTATCTGCATCAGTATTCACGAGCCAACTTGAGCTAGTGTGCACTGATTTCCTGGGGGACACCGACGGCAAGATCCTCTGGAGATGCTGGTGATACTGGAGAACTCTCAAGCACTTTGTTGACAATATCACTGAGTGCAACATGATGATGTTTTTTCATTTATAAGAGATATCGGGTGATCTGTTCTCCTGGGTGTGATGGCTCTATCTCTCCATGACAGCCTTTACTTTCTGCCAACAATTGTTTTTATTGCTGTCGAGCTTCGAACGTTTAGGTAATGGGAGAGCTAACCTCAAAATTCCACTGGTGATGCACTTTTTTTGAGATATTGAGAATGACAAATTGATTTGATTCGATATTTTAGGGGTTTTTTCGGTGAGAGATGGAGAGGATTGATTTAATCAAGCTGTAAATGTACCTTTTATTCACGCATAGGCCGGAGAGTTGTGTTGGCTGGAGGACGCCATTTTGGAATTGCCAGGTATTGAAGATTTTTCTGCATTATCTACAGAACAATTTTTAAGGTTGGAATTGGAGTTCCACGTAGGAAACAACAGCAAGTCTCTCTCTGGGGCTGTCGTGAGTGATAATTAATATTTTCCAGGGGTTTTTCATGCCGTAGGATCATGGTGGCAGTGATAAACAGTGAGGAAATCGATGAGGAGAGCCTGGAGAGCCCTGAGGACACCCCGAAAGAGGCGAGAGTCTACTCGCTCGAGAGTATCCTTTGAAAATAAAGAGTGAATTGATTAACCATCCATCCATCCCACAAAGCCCATATGTCTGTCCTCAGCACCCCCAGATCATTTCTGAAGACAATTGCAGGTTTTATCAATCGAAAGGTATTTTTCTTGACTCAAAGTTCGGTCTAGTTCTCAAAATAATCAAGGAAGCCCAGCAGCAGCATGGCCTTCGTCATGGCGACTACCAGAGGTACAGGGGCTACTGCTCCAGACGCCTCAGGAGGCTGAGGAAGGTCCTGAAGGTGCCTCAAGGGGACAGGAGACACTTCAAACGCAGGGATGTCACTGCTGTTATGGTGCACGACGACAAGTTCCTTCAGGTTCCTCTGACGATGGCTGAACGCGCCTGGAGTCATGCCATGCAGCTTCGTATCGAGGCTAATACTGAACCCAGGAAGAAGTTCCATCTTATCTCGAGGCTGAGGAAGGCTGCTGCTTATGCTCTTCAGCTTCAAGAGTTGATTGAGGTTAAACACTTTTATCAGCATGTAACAAGTGGATTTCTTATGTCAGGAGTATTAAATCAGAAATTATCTCGATAATGAGTACTTTTAAGTGACAATTTAGGGACATTTCTTATCAAAATCGATGAGTTTTATTCAGTTCAATCTGTTTACTTCTGTTTTCACCTCTTTACCAGTTTTTCACATTTCACAAAAGAGGGTAAACATTTGTTTTGTGATTTAAATCAATGTTTTTTGATAAATCTAAAACTCTTAGTTAAACATGAACTAAATTTTACTTTTTTATAAAGTCTAAAATTCAACTTATTTTTAACCAACCAAGTCCATTCTCCCCCCATCTGCTCCAATAAAACTAACAATCCCATTAATTTCAGAACGTAAACTGCGATGCTCGAACAAAGCTGGAGGCCCAAGCCTACGTAGCCTGGATCCAGGGTTCCCTCCAATTCGAGCTCCAACTCTGGAAAGACGCAATGACAAATCTCAAGAAGGCCCAAGTGGTGTACGGTGAGCTGGCATCAGCCCTCCCAGAGCTAGAGCAATTGATCTACAAAGCACGAGTTGAGGAATTAGCCCCGAGCCTCCGTTACTGCGCCTACAACGTGGGTGACACTTCAGCAATCGACGATTTGATGCAGATGCGAGGACAACTGAGTAACGAATTGCTCATGAGCCTGGACTCCCTGATGGCGCAGACACGTGAGAAGCAGTCGAGTGCAGAGGAAGTGACTTGGCGTGGGAGATCATGTGGAGTGGTGCCACCGAGAGCCACAGGGCTCTTGATAGCTGATTCCCGATTGAATCAGACCCTGGAGAAGACGTCGACCCTCCAGGGGAAGATTGATCTGCTGGAGGCTCATCTTATCGACTGCAAGGACGTGATAGCTGCTGTGAGGGAGACTTTCAAAGCAGAATTGAAGAACAAGGACGATAAGACACCAGCTCATCACCTGATCGCTTATCTGCAGTACATCAGGCTGTCTAGGACTCTGGAGAGGAACCTCGCACTCGTGAGCATCGCTGAGGCCTCCGAGAAAGCAAAGCCACAGGACATTGTTCGTCTTTACGAAGCAGCTCTGCATAATTTATTGGAAATGTCGCAGCTCCTGGAGGACGAGGAGTACATAAAGGAGCAGGAGGCGAAGAGCAAGGGCTACAGGGCCTTCAGGTGCTTCCACATGGCCCAGTCCCTGGCCAATGTCCACAGGTGGAGGGAGGCAATGGCTCTGTATCAACGAGCCCTTCGACACACCCTCGACGCACTCAAGGACCAGTCCTTCCTCCCCGAGGACCTCAAATCCTCTTTGAAGAAGCTTGAGAGCTCCATCGAGGGCGCCCAGTGCGCTGCCCATGCTCACAGTGTCCTCGAGGAGGGCACGGATGACGAGGCTGCGGCTGTCAAGCAGATGAAGAGCAAGAAACCACTCGTCGAGAGACTCCACGAGTACAGGGAGGATAACTCTTTGCTCAGCAAGCAACCCAATGTCTTCAATATGCCACCTCCCATGCAGAGCATTCCTTGCAAACCTCTGTTCTTTGATTTGGCGTTCAATATGGTGGAATTCCCGGATTTATCGGATAAACTGGGGGATCAGGGGAAGAAGGCACAGGCTGGACTCACTGGATTTGTTAAGGGACTGTGGGGATGGGGAAATAAGTAACTGGAGATTTGGGTTTTTGTATCGTCTTTGGATTTGGTTTATTCGAGTAATAAAGACAGTTTGATTTAATGGAGTTGATTGTGTTTTAGTTATTGAGGGTATTCTTAAGTATGGGTTTTAGATAATTTTTTAAGTGAAAATGTGGAAACATTTTCGGAAAAATTGATGGTTTTTATTCAATTCAATTCTTTAATTCGTTGTTGCTCAAAGTGGGTTTCTTTGGTTCACGTTTAGACCAGCCTTTCATATGTCTCGCATTCCCCTTTATTAAAAAGAGAACATGAATTTCTGAAGGTTTATCTTTACCGAGCAGCTCTTCGCAATTTAATGGAAATTTCGCTGTAAAATTTATTAAATAGAGGAAACTGATGCAAAGTGAATTGAATTACATTTTCCATTAGTACGAAATTATTCCATTAAAAAAAGTTAAGAGTGCCCATTTTACCTCACTCTCTCCTGCATAAGTGGTATAAAATCAAGCAATAAACGAAATCCTACCTAACTAAACAAAATTCACGTAATTGTCAACTACATAGATGTATAAATCCAATAATTGCGCAATCAAATATCAACGAAATAGAGGAGGAGATGGCTAAACGGACACTAGACTTTTTTTTCAAATATTAAAAACTTTTGCAATTGTTGATGAAATGGAATCATTTTTTTCCTAGGAGAGTATACTTCCTTCTCTCTGCAATGACCCCAAACTGAGCGCAGTTAAGGGAGAATCAGGCAAAATAGAAATTTTTGACCTTTTTAAAAATATTCATAATTTAACAATAAATTCATCAATTGAGCTCAGTCTAGACTCATCACAAACAGGAAGAGACGCTTTATGAGGAAAAAAATTATCCCGTTTGATCAACGTTTGATACAATAAATTATTAACATTTCAAAAAAGTCAAAAGGGTTCGTATTGCCCAACTCCCCCTAATCAATTTATTTCTGAGTCATGAATATTTGAACAAATGTCTGGATGCAAATGAGGGTTTCTCTTTTATTTAATCTTCCAGCCCCCCCCCCCCCCCGCCCAATTTNTGGAACAAAATAGAAATTTTTGACCTTTTTAAAAATATTCATAATTTAACAATAAATTCATCAATTGAGCTCAGTCTAGACTCATCACAAACAGGAAGAGATGCTTTACGAGGAAAAAAATTATCCCGTTTGATCAACATTACAATGAATTATTAACATTTCAAAAAAGTCAAAAGGGTTCATATTGCCCAACTCCCCCTAATCAATTTATTTCTGAGTTATGAATATTTGAACAAATGTCTGAGTTCAAATCAGGGTTTTTCTTTCATTTAATCTTCCCGCACTTACAAGCAGCGCTCCACAGGCAAAAAAAATGTAACCCCCCCTCCGCCCCCTCAATTCCACGAAACGGCACGTCGACGTAGCAACCCGGTGCACGTTTCCCAGAAATTCCAAACAAAATTCACCATTACCCTGTAATAATACTGAATTAAAAAATGAAGGAACAGCTAAAGGAATTAGCAATTGAACTCTATGAAATCGACGCAGTGAAATTCGGTGATTTCGTCACTAAAGTAGGATTAAAAACCCCAGTATATGTTGACTTGAGGGTGATAATTTCATACCCAAAGATATTGGTGAGTGTCATAATGATTGAGTCCTAAAATTAATTTTATAAATGACCAACTAAATTTACTGAATTAATAATATGGTTCTTTGCTCTTTGAACAGAAAAAAATATCGAAAACTCTGTGGGGTTTAGCTGAGGATGATAAGGTGGTTCAAATCTGCGGTGTGCCATACACCGCGTTGCCAATAGCGAGTGTTATATCAGCGGAATCGGACATTCCAATGGTGATTCGACGAAAGGAAGCGAAGGCCTATGGTACAAAAAAATTGATCGAGGGGAGCTTCAAGCAAGGGGACACGTGTGTGATCATCGAGGACGTTGTGACGAGTGGCAGCAGCATCCTGGAGACCGTCAGGGACCTGAAGAATGAGGGTCTCAAGGTCACAGAGGCCCTGGTCATCATGGACAGGGAGCAGGGAGGCAGGAAGAACATCGAGAACAGTGGAATCAAGATGCAGAGCCTTTACACACTCACCCAACTAATGGGTTACCTCTTGGAAGCGAAGAAAGTCACTGCGGAGACTGTGGAGAGAGTCACTGAGTACCTGAAGGAGAGCAGAGCTCCGGTCAAGACCTTTGAAGATGGTGAGAATGATAAAATTGAGTGATTTAAGATGTTAGAGGGGGCTCGGGCAACAGGTGGTAATAACAGACGAGGGGGAATTCGTGCATTATTTTGTTAATATTTTCGGAGTGAAGGGATATACGATAATTTGTCGAAAGACATTTTTTGCAGGAAATTTTGAGATCTACAAAAAAGGTCTCTTGATAAATTCTGTAAACCTCTTCACTCCGAAAATATTTAAACGATTATTCACACAAAATAGTAATTCAAAGAAAACGAGGATGAAATTCAATCATGCACTAATTTTTCAATATTTTCGGAGTGAAGAGATATACGATAATTTATCAAAGGACCTTTTTTGTGGAGAATTTCAAGGGCTACAAAAAATGTCTTTTGCTAATTTTTCGTAGACCTCTTCACTCCGAAAAGATTTTGACAATAATTCACTCACGAATGAATTCAATTACGAGAATTCATGAAGACCTTTAAAAATGCAGATGTAAGAGTGAATTAATCGACTGCATCATACAAAAAACCACTCATCTTCTTCAGATTCTGCCCCAAAAAGATTAACTAACGAATGAATTTAATTACGTGAACAATCCTCGTTTTTCTAAAAATAGATAAGAATGAAATTACGAGAATTTATGAAGGCCTCTAATAATTCAGATGTAAAAGTGAATTAATCAATTGCATCACGTAAAAACCCATTTATCTTCTTCAGAATCTGCCCCAAACAGATTGAAACTAGACTTTGCGGAGCGTTCAAAAGTCGCCAAGAATCCTCTAGCTGCAAAACTCCTGAATCTCATGAGCCAAAAGGAAACAACCCTCTGTCTCGCAGCAGACTTGACGTCCGCCGACGAGATAATCGACCTGACGGAGCGCGCAGGGCCGCACATAGCTGTGCTAAAGATCCACGTGGACATAATCGAGGACTTCGACCAGACCTTCATCCAGAGACTGAAGCACCTGTCCTCGAAGCACAAGTTCTTCATAATGGAGGACAGGAAATTCGGGGACATAGGGAACACAGTGTCCCTTCAGTACGGAAAGGGTGTGTACAAAATAGCAGAATGGGCGGATTTGATCACTGCCCATCCTGTCCCAGGCCCAGGGCTCCTGGATGGGCTCAAAAAAGCCCAGAAACACGTCTCCGAAGATCGTGGGGTGTTCCTGATCACTGAGATGTCCTCGAAGGGAGCTCTGACAGGAGAAAATTACGTGAAGGAGTGCTTGGCACTCAGCAAAGACTCGGACATTGTGACGGGACACGTTTGCCAGTCTAATGTCTTCTCTGACCCTGGATTGATCCAACTAACCCCTGGAGTTAAACTCGCTAAAACTTCTGACAACCTGGGGCAACAGTACAATACCCCAGAAGCAGTTGTCAACGCTGGAGCTGATCTAGCAGTCGTCGGACGGGGCATCACCGAATCCCTCGACAAGTTATCATCAATTCTCAAGTACAAAAACCAACTCTGGGCTGCGTACAAAAACCGAATAAGCTCGTGATTTTTCGATTATTTTTGATTATTAATACTATGTTTGAGCTAAGTCGCACAATCAACATTTTATAAAACATATTTTCGATGCTAATTCACTGTATAAAATAAGTCTAGAATATTTTTTCTGAAAATATACAAGATACTATGAGGATTTCCATGAGCTAGATTTGTATGAGGTAACATTTGTTACGTTTACAATGTCCATCATTCACATGACCTTAAAAATGCCTGGGGTACAACACTCCAGAAGCAGTTGTCCACATCGGAGCTGAATTACAAAGATAAGCCTCATGATTTTTCGATTGTTTTTATTATTATCGTTTGAACACCATTCCACAATCAAAATTTTATAAAAAATATTTTCGATGTTACTTGACTGTACAAAACACCTCTAGAATATTTTTCCTGAAAATATACAAGATACAAAATGTAATATCTACATCTCTGTGTTTAAGTAAAATAATCGAGTAATAGCATTCGAGTTTGAAAAGCGAATATTCATATGAACGAATCCTCCATCATATGAACTCTCCCCTACTTGCTCACAGAGTTCGAGTTTATTTAAATAACAAACTGTTAATGTGTATCATACGTTCGCATAGCAGTCACACAGTTCATCCACTCGGTAACACGTTAGAGAGGGTTTTTCATTTTTTAGTTCAAGCTTCCTTGCTCTTGGTGAGCTCCTCAACGAGTTTCCTGAAGACCTGGGCAACTTGACTGTCAGGAAGTGTCACCAGGATGCTTTGGCCCTTGTCAGCTAGTTTTCCAATCGCCGGGTCGATGGGAAGTTTAGCCAAAAATGGAACTTTCACCATTTCGGACAGGGCTATGCCTCCACCAGACGAAAAAATATTTGTGCACTCCTGAAATGATCACTTGAATAAATCCGCATTCAAATTATCAATTCAGAAAGTCGCTTAATCCACTGATGCAACCATCAAAGAGTTTAAGCTCTTCTCAAACTCTTTCTGTCTCCAATTAAAAATTGTCAAATTCAGTAGCGAAGTGGTAAAACGGTACAAGTCAATTTTGACTATTGACCCGTGTTCAATGAATATCTCGGAATCTAACGGAGATAGCAAAATTTCTGTTATAATCATTTTTGTAGAGCGGATTGAGTGCTACAACAAATGTAGTTACGAAAATTTCGCTATCTCCCTTAAATTCCGAAATACTCCTCAAAAACTTGACTGAGAGATAAGTCGACTTAAACCGTTTTGCCACGTCGCTACTGAATTGAAGTCTCACCGAACACGTTGGACAGACAAATCCACTCATATTCTCGACAATCCCAATAACCGGAATCCCAGTTTTCCTGCAAAACGTTATTTCCCTCAAGACATCATCGACAGCAACAGCCTGTGGAGTGGTAACGATAATAGCCCCATCGCACTTAACATCTCTGCAAACAAGGAAAACAGCTGAAAAACCGTCGAGTTTGGACAAGCACGTGACGAAGAATCACATGCCATTGATCAGTCATCAGTGTTATCAGGCCTCATGACCAAGGCTTATCTCCCCACATAACAATCCCACCACCGATGTGTCATATGATCCACAATCGTGAGTTCATGTGACTGTTATCAACATGTGACTTCCCCAAAAAAAAACAACACGAACACGAACCTCAGATTCTCCATAACAGTGATGTGCTCGTCTGAGGTGCCAGGAGGAGTGTCAATGATCAGATAATCGATGTCCTTCCAGACGACGTCAGTCAGAAACTGTCTGATCATGCCAGTCTTCTTGGGTCCTCGCCAGACAACCCCATCGTTACGATTTTTCAGCAAAAATCCAATGGACATTACAGCAAGTGTCTGATCCTGATCAGTGTACACTGGAATCCATCTGCAGTCCAGATTAAACCATAGTCATCAACAATAATTTCTAATAAATTCTTCTGAATGGCGTCCATACCCTTCCGAGGACTGGTGCACATCCTTGTCCTCAATATTTAGGAGATAAGGCACACTGGGGCCACAGAGGTCGACATCGAGGATTCCCACCTCCAGAAAACAAAATGACAATCAGATTTTTACCGACTAAGTTGTTCACTGGGGACAACTTAACCTGCTGTTGTTTTTCGTTGTTTTTTACCTTGAAGCCGGCTACCTTGAGGGCCAGTGCCAGCTGGGTGCTCACCGTTGACTTGCCAACGCCACCCTTGCCCGATAGAACCAGCAGAACGTGCTTCACCTCGTCCAGCATCGTTGGAGAACTGCCTTCGGTTTTTATCAAGAGTGATTACAATGTTTTGTCGGGCTACCCCCTTCTTCCAGTTGCCGAGCAAATGTGAAGTGTTTTCGGTGGTATTTTTGGTTCTGAAGTGGTGGCGCTGGTGCGTTTGTTGATCGCGGAGGTGTCATAGCAGTTTGAATAATCGATAAAATCGGAATTATTCTGGGAGACGTTGAAACACAACAAACAGCGAGTTTTTATGATTTTGTTGGCATGTCGGGCGTTCGTCATGCTAGAGAGCCTTTGAGGCAGTAATTCGGTGGTATTTCAGTTGAAAAAAGTTGTTGATTCACTAAATATACAGAAAATAATGCGTGAGCTTCTCTGGGAGATTTGAATCTCGATCAAAAAAATCCAACAATGGTGAGTCCTTTCTCTTTTTGATGAATTCAAGAATATGGAAGAGATTTTTTAATACATTTTGAAACATTTTCTGGACTAAATGATCTGTTGCATTCAATGGAGATCCTTCATTTTTTGACACATTCGATGTTTTGCATTGAAATCTTGCCTGCAGAAATTATAATCCTGACTTCGCGTGCGAAAAAACTTCATAGAAAAACCTAGTGAATTTACTAGACAATCTATTGGATTTCTAATGAGCATTGTATTAGTTTTTGGCTAATTCTATTGAGAAATTTCGCAGCTCATTTGCTCGTTTTGTCAATAGAAATATTCCAGGGAAAATATTACATGAAAAAAATTAATAGAATCCGGTTTTTGTATATAACTATTCTATTGCGATATTTTCTACAAAAATTCCTTGGCACAAATTTCCCAAGTTTTTTCATTGATTTATTGATGAAACAAGAGAACAGAAATAGAATGGAAAAAACTTTGAAAATTCATGTCCAAAAATTCCTATAGAAAATGTCTCAATAGAAAAATGAAATTCTCCAGATTTTTCCTGTGAAGTTGTTTCTATCAGACATTTTCTATGCAAAAAAAACTCGCTATAAAATTCTCAATAAAAGTTGAATAGAAATCCAACACAATTTTCTATCGAATTCACGAAATTATTCTATACAATTTTTTCGTGCGTGAAGTTTAATTTCTATTCTGTAATTATTTGATTGAATAATAATAATGCATCCTTAATTTTAAATCTACAACATATTGGTGCTTTAAAAAAAAAATGAGGTTTTTATAATCGTCCAGAAAAAAGCAGTTGCGTCTGTACAAAATGAAAACTTCACTGTTTTTAATACTATTTCAGTAGCGAAGTGGTCAAACGGTTTAAGTAGATTTTGACTATTCGTAAGTTTTCAATGAATATCTCGCAATCTAAGCCAGATAGCAAAATTTCTGCTACGACCTTTTCGGTAGAGGATACTGAGAGCTTAAAAAAAGATAGAGGCGAAAATTTCGCTCTCTTCCTTAGATGTGGAGATATTCCTCGAAAACTCAACTAAGAGCTACGTCGACTTGAACCATTTGACCACTTCGCTACTGATTTGTAAATAGATACTCTCAAGAGCTAAACCGGCGCTGTCGGATGCCTCGAGGAAGCCCGCGGCTCGCAAAGACATCCCGAAGCTCGGGGAATTCCTCGAAAAACGCGATTATGCAGGTGCACTGACTCTAATCGAGTTCAACGCGACTAGTAGCAATGCCATTGAGACTGAAACCTGGATTGCCTACTGTGCGTTCCACCTGGGGGACTACAAAAGAGCTACCAGTGTGTACGAGGGTCTGAGGAAGAAGGACAAAGCCCCAGCCGATGTGCCCACCAACTTGGCCTGTTGCTACTTCTATCTCGGAATGTATCCAGAGGCTAAAGAAGCTCTCAGAGACGCTCCTGAGAGCGGCCTCAAGACGAGACTCTTATTTCATCTCTCTCATAAAATGGGAGACGAGAATACACTTTTGGAGTATCACGGGAAGCTGAAAGACGTCATTGAGGACCAGCTGTGTCTCGCCTCGATTCATTACCTCAGGGCTCATTATCAGGAGGCCATCGACATCTACAAAAAAATTCTGCTTGATAACAGGTGGATCTTCTAATTCTCGATTTTGGGGTCCTTTTTTCGTAGTCTATATTCTTTTATTCATATTCCCAGTGACTATCCCAAAAACTCCCTGTCCTGCGACTCTGATGATTCTAGCGATTTCGATGATTCAGATTTCCTTATCCTATTGAGCAAATCCAGGTATTCCTCAAGTGATTTTTTAATGATGTTAGAATTAATGATGAAAGATATCACGTCGTAAATAATGAAATGGAAAGTTGCAATTAACAATTGCTGATATTTTTTCGATAAGAATTTTTGGAGCGAATAAAATCGAGCAGAGAAAAATGGAAACAATTTATATCCAAGAAATTCGATAGAAAAATTCTCGAGAAAATAAGTCATACAGAAACATCGAAATGTCTTCACTTTTTGTCTATCAAATATCTGTCAGAAAATCGTCTGGAAATGTTGGGAAATTTTCAATCGAAATCATGGCTAAACGTACGGAATTTTCAAATGAATTGCGACAAAATCCTACTAGAATTCTAAAATTCACTGGAATTCACTGGATTCCTAGTGAAAGCGTTTCAATTTTTCCGAACGTACACAAAGGTATTGAAATTAACAATGAAGTGTAACAATGAATGTTAAACATGGATTACTCATCCATACATTTAATAATCATGTAATTAATGGATTATAATCATTCTTTTGTCACTCCCCTTCATTACTATTCCCTTCGTTAATGATTTCAGGGATTATCTAGCTCTGAATGTTTACGTAGCTCTCTGCTACTACAAGTTAGATTACTACGACGTGGCACAGGAAGTCCTCCAAGTGTACCTCCAAAAATATCCTGACAGTGCAATCGCGATCAATTTGAAAGCCTGCAATCATTTTCGTTTGTACGATGGGAGCACTGCGCAGGCCGAGATGAGGCAGTTGGTGGAGAAGACAGCGTCCACGTACAGCTTCGGACATGATTTAATTCGGCACAATATTGTGGTAACTAATCTCAACGATTCAGAACAATTTCCCAAGTCTTTGATAAAAATTAATCACTCATTTACTAGTTGAACAGTCATTCTCTTCCAGGGATCCCCATCAACATTAAATTTCTGTAATATTACAAGGATTTGACCCTTAGATTATTGAAGATTTAAAATATGTTGATTCAATTTTTCAACTAATATAATATTAATAATCTGATTTTTTACGAATAATGATATATTTAAAATTTGTTAATATGAAACTGTTAATTTACTTCTAAGTGAATGATTAAATTTCTTGAAAGGGGCTTTTCGATTACACAAGTAATCGTCAATCTTTCTACCTCAAATTATTGATTGATAAAATGGTTGGAAATTTAAATATTTGAATTGATGATACTTAAGTACTCAAAAAATTTCAAGAGTGATGTTATCTAATTAAGGGCTACAAAAGTAACCATAATAAAACATTACAAATTTGGCTATCCCTTTTCTCTTCTCGAGTGAATGCTAATGGTCTTGAATTATAGGTCTTCAGAGATGGAGAGGGAGCTCTGCAAGTGCTCCCCGCCTTAGTGGATGTAATACCAGAAGCAAGACTCAATCTCGTTGTTTACTATTTGAAACAAAACGATATTCAAGAGGCATATGATTTGATCAAGGACTTGGAGCCAGCAGTTCCGCAAGAATATATTCTGAAAGGGACTGTTCATGCATTAATTGGTCAAGACACTGGCTCTGTAAGTTGAATAATAATAAGAACCTCAATTACTATTCCGATTAGGGTTTTGCGTGATTCTGTTTTATTATTGAGAAATGCCAAAAAATATATAAAAATTTGATGACATCTGTTAGACACGTAAAGTTTAATTCCGATTCACGTAATAGTTAATAATATTTGATTAAAAATGCTTGTATTATGACATCATAATGTGCAAACTTCATCAATTGACTGTAACGTCTCAATTTTCCACGATTTTTCAACTGTTCATGCATTAATTAGGAGACTGGCTTTGTGAGTTGGAAAACAAGAACTAGTGCTTGAGCTTCAATTACTATTCCAATTAGGGCTCTGAATGATTTTGTTTTATTACTAAAAAGTAACGAAAAATATAGTAAAATTCGATGACATCTATTAGACATATTTCTTAATTCCGATAAATCATGAGAAATTAATGAATCATATTTGATTGAAAATGTCTGCATTATGATATCATAATGCAGAAACTTCATTAATTGACTGTAGCGTCTCATTTCATCACGATTTTCCAAAATAAAAAAATACGTATTTAATTGTTTTCATCAAATTTTCGTGTTTCATAATCTCCTTCATTGAAAAAATTTCAATTACAATTGATTATGTTGATCCCTTTTGCATTGTAGAGGGACAGCATCAAGACTGCTCAACAATACTTCCACCTGGTGGGCTCATCAGCCTCTGAATGCGACACAATTCCAGGGAGGCACTGCATGGCCGCCTGTTTCTTCCTTCGTCGACAGTTCGAGGAAGTCCTCGTGTACCTCAATTCCATCAAGACTTATTTTTCTAATGACGATAGCTTCAATTTCAACTACGCCCAGGCACAGACAGCCTCGGGGTACTTCAAAGAGGCCGAGGAGGCTTTTCTCATGATCAGGAATGAGCGATACAGGAATGATTATGTTTGCATTAGTCTATTGGCTTATTGTTGTAAGTCTTTTTAATCAATTTTTCCATTTTTCTTTTCAAAATTTATCATTGTTTCCACTTGTTGCAGTCATAATGAACAAGAAAGCTCAACTAGCTTGGGACTTGTATCTGAAAATGGACACCTCAACTCAGTCATTCAATCTACTTCAATTAATCGCCAACACTTGCTACAGACTTGGAGAATTCTGGTATGCAGCCAAGGCTTTCGATATGCTGGACAGGATGGATCCATCTCCGGAGTATTGGGAGGGTAAACGAGGAGCTTGCTGCGGGACTTTTCAGTACATTGTGGCTGAAAAACATCCCAAGTACGTCGACAATAAACAATTGAGAGCTAATCAGTGAGCGGAAGGCAATATTGATGATTTTTGGATTATTTTTCTTCCAGAGAACTGCTGCCAGAAGTCATTCAACTCCTTCGAAACACTACAAACTCTCAGGTCGAGCAGATTATTCGAGTCATGAGGAAGTGGGGGAAGGATCACAAAGTGAATTGTTAAAATTGACTTGTGAAATTTCATAATAATTAAGAGCTCCGTCCATTCATTAGCCTCATTTATACAAAAAATTGTAATAAAATTGAATAACTCGAAGGACTGATGTATGAATTATGACACTGTTTTCGAATTTTCGTCACGAATTTCCCTTCCACCTCCTTTCGCGAAAGAATGATTGATTTCCACAAGATGTTACAGCAAGATAAATAATTTTATCACTCAAGACAAATTGCAATAATCAGGAAACAATGTGCATGCAGCCGTCATGATTTGCAGTGAGTAATCCCACGAATTGAAAGCATTGTTTTCAGTACGAAATTTATCATTGGAAATTCCTTTACTTGCAGAAATCCTTGCAATCACCATTTTTGCGTTGATATTTGATACATCAATACCATCAGAGCCCATTGGAAATGGACCTCGTTTGTGGATCGCTTAGTGAAGCCTATATATGAGAAATGGAACGGTGGAAATTCGAGTACTCGATGGAGTCTCTTCGCGGATTGTTATCGGAAGGAATGGTAAAGGAGTGAAAGAATTAATTGATTCGTTTATAAAACTGCACAAGTCGCTTGTCTCGGAGACCAAATCCTTTAAAATGTCTCGAAATGTGAGAAATGAAAATTCCTACGCGTCCGTAATCTCTGCCTACAACCGTTATGACAAAAAATTGCAGGTGGCTGTATCTTCGATACAGCTGTGATTGCTCGTGGATACATCCATGGTCTTTCCTTCTTTCTCGAATTTCCTAGAAACTCCTCGCATTCCCTTGAATTTTCTGGAAACTTCTTGAATTCTCTCGAATTTTCTAGAAACTCCTTGAATCCCCTCGAATTTTCTAGAAACTCCCTGAATTTCCTCGAAATGTCTAGAAACTTCTTGAATGTTTTCGAAATTTCAAGAAATTTCTTGAATTCCCTCGAAACGTCTAGAATTTTCTAGAATTTCGATAGATAGCCCTGCACATAAGGACCGTTTCCTAAAATGAACCCCATATTGAAACCGTAGACGTATCCATGTCAAAAATATTGTTCGGGCACACGGCCGAAAAAATTATTCTAGCTCATATGGTCGAAACCCTCGCCTTCATCTAGAATATCTTCTGGGAGACGAGATTTTGGTGGCTCCAGTAATCGGGAAGAATGCTAGTCATCGTGATGTCTATTTTCCTAAGGGCACCTGGCACGATCCAATTATCTACCAAGATATTGTTGGACCCAGGTTGTGCGTGAATTACCTCGCCAAGTTGGATGTTCTTCCTTACTTCATTCGAAAAGCATGAGCAACACCGATGCCATGCATGAGGAAGATTAAACCGAACGTGATAGTTTAGTTGTTCCCGGGATTTTTATTGTATTATCTCTGGTCATTCCTTCTGTGTAATCAATCGATAAACTTTTCCACTCACCAATGGTTCAATATCCCCCTCCAGAAAGTATTTTATTGCAAAACCAATGCAAACACGTGCGTTATCTCGACATAGTAAACATGTTCGCAGGCATTTTTGGAGGATAATCGAAGGAGTCTCCTACCGGAAGCCGGATAATTGTTGGTTGGACAACTCGATTCTTGTTATGACTCTCTATCAAGTGTCGCAGAGATAATTGTTTCATTTTTTATTCGACTGGAGATATCAACCGTGTATAAAACTACGGAAGGAGATTACCCGACGATCAGTAGTAGACTGGCCGTGAGAATGGGTCTCGGTGAGTGATAATTTTATACTTTGGGGAGTGCTTTGTGATTTTTCATCGATTTTTTAATTTGGAAATTTTTCTAATTTTCGTGGATAATCCTTCTAAACTCAGTTTCATGTGATAGCACTACCTCAAGTAATCCATTCATTAATCAGTTTAATTTGTCAATCTAATTGACCGATCACACGAAGAAAGAAAGAGAGAAAAAAAATTGTGATTTTGTGACTGATTTTCAGGAATTACAGGAAAATTCTGTGATTGCAAAATTCTGACGTTCAGTGATTTTGTCACCAATTTTCAATGATTATCATTCATTTCATCAGTGCCATTGCAACCATCCTTGGGTAACTTAGTAATGTTCGCAATTATAATTCGCATCTAAAATGTTCTAAAATATTGCGTTGAATTACAGTCAAGTTGACCGTTCTGTTGCTCATCGGCAGTGCGTTATCCTGCCAGCTTCCTGACGTGCCGAACCCTCCAACACGCGTCAGACAGGTCTCAAAAAATGCAGTGATCGAAATCGAGGGGAGAGCCGGTGGCTCGGTAGTTCTCAATGCCACGAAGAACGGTAAAGACAAGAAACCCTTTATGCCGGGAAAAAATTACCATCGACATCCCGTAAAAACGTCATTCTGGCACATAACGCTTCCTAAATTTCACAACTCCATCAACTCCCTTTTCACAGATGGCACAAACATGAGAATTGAACTTCAATTCTCCGATTCGTCACCAACCGCTACCCCAAGGGTAACGAGCTGCGGTCAATTCTACACCTGCATCGCTGATGAAAAAGGAACTCACACGACCATCGAAGTGGTCCCCACTCGTGAATTCGTGAAAGTTCAAAGGAACTCATCTTCACCCTCGAGTCGTTTCAGCGATTGCTTCTCATTGCGAGACGACACGCAATGGGTGGGTGGTCCCCAGCACCGGTACCAGCACTGGCCGATCCAGCACATGTACTTCGACGAAGAGCCTTATGTCCCGTCCCACCCGACGAATATGGCCATCACCGAGAGGTAGATAGATACACACAACTAAATTTCATTAAAAAACTAGTCAATTTTATGGAAAATTCTATTATTTTTTGGCCGAAACTTTTACTGCGCGTTTTTTTTTCGTGGAAAATGTCCAATAGAAACTATTTTATAAGAAGAACAGTACAATTTCATCTTTCTATACAACTTTTTCTATTGAGACAGTTTCCTTAGGAATTCTTCGACGAGAATCTTCCACGTTTTTGCGACTTCTCTTTTCTTATTGAAAAAATCAAACAAAAAATAGAAAATTTGAGCCGAAGAATTTCTTTAGGAAATATCTTAATAGAATTAGTTGTACAAACCAATCGAATTCAATCATTTCAATCCTTCAATTGAAAGCCAGAGTTGAAGACCCGAGTTTGTACCAAAGATGTCAGACAAGATATGAATGTTTTTTTGGGCTCAAACGAAAGAGCGGGTCGAGAAATGGCGTGCTAGGACCTCTAAAGATGGTTTTGAACCAGGGGAGACTCCTAGACCCCAATGTTCTATACATACTCCTAGACCCCATTGTCCTCCTAGACAATGATGTCACAACTCTGCTTTTCAATTGAAAACAGATATCATCTTTAGAGACATTTGTCATGTTTAGAGGCTCTAGCACGTCATTTCTCGACCCGCTCTTTCATTTGAGCCCAAAAAAACATTTATATCTTGTCTGATATCTGTGCTACAATGTCAGGTCATCAACTCTGGTTTTCAGTTGAAATTGGAATTGTTAATTTACACAATAATAGGAGTGCATTGACGATTTTTTCTTAACTCGCAAAAATCTTCAAACAATGTGCTACCGATTGGTGATAAAATTTTTTGGAAATAATGAAATAGGAGGAATAACGCCTTTTTTTTCAGGGGGGATTTTTCACAAATTTATTTTAAAAAAGTACTAACTAGCAAATGTTTTTTATTAGGTCGCAATTTTCGTCAAAACTACTTCAATGAGGAAAAAAATAAAAATTTGGAATATCTATACATGAGGGGCTAATTGATTGGATCTGAAAATTTTTATTGAAAAACGCCCAGATGAGCTGTAATTTCTCAGTAGAATCAGCCACAAACCAATAATAATAGAAATAATAGAAATCCAATAGATTTTTCTACCGAATTTTCTACGTTTTTTATGACATTTCTATGTACGTGTGGACAAATGGATAATTTGAAAGTGATTCGTCAGTTCTGTAAAGTAGGAAAGATCCTCTGAAGAAGAACCAAAATTTTAACAGTTTTTCGTCGATTCTATTGAAGAATTCCGCATCCTTTTTTCGCGTTCTTCAATGTAAATATTCCATAGAAAAAATCAATAAATTGTGGATTTCATACGCCTTATTCTATTGAGATCGTTTCGAGAGAAAATTTTACTCGGCACAGGTACTGGCTCTCCAGCAGAGGTTTCTACATTCACGTCTCCCCATACGTCCACCTCTTCCTGGACCAGAACAACATCAAGGATAAGTACCTGTGCCTGGTGACCAAGAACAAGGCGCCATACACCCCAGGTAAGAACACCACAACCTCCTACGAATTCGGATTCTTCAACAATTCCCGTCTCGCGCACGAGTCCGTCATCAACCGTCACTTTGGAAAGCCATCTGGACATCCTGATGCCCGTATGGTCCAGCACCCCATCTACTCGACCTGGGCCAGGTACAAGGCCAACGTCAGCGAGAAAGTCGTCAACGATTTTGTGGATGAGATCGTCTCTTATAAATTCAACAACAGCCAGTTGGAGATAGACGACAATTGGGAGACCTGCTACGGATCTGCTACATTCGACACTAAGAAATTCCCCAATATCACTCGACTCGCTGATACTCTCAGGAAGAAGGGTTTCAGGAATACACTTTGGATTCATCCTTTCATTAATATTGGGTGTGAACCTGCTTATTCTTACGCTCGTAATAATAGTTACTTTGTGAAGAATAGCGATGGGAGTACGTACACTACATGGTGGCAAGGTAAGCCATGATTCAGTATTATTCATTATTTTCCGTTCATTTTAGCCTTCCCAAGTTCTTCTTTCGAGGGGAATAAGTCACACAAAGACTTTTACTTTTCCCGATTCTCGGAATTATTCTATTCGAAAATACAGTTCAATATCGTTCTTATTTTTGCCTAACAAATTGTGAACTTATACAGCGTACGTCGATTTTTTCGAGATCAATTTTGATGAAATGTCTTGAAAGACGCGTGTTTTCCTCGATTCTTGGAATTATTCTATTCGAAAATGCATTCCAATATCGTTATTATTTCTGTTTAATAAATTGTGAAGTAATACAGCATAAATCAATTTTCCTTCGAGGTCAATTTTGGTGAAATGTCTTGAAAGACGTGTGCTTTTAATGAATAAAATAATTCAGTAGTGAAGCGGTAAACCGGGTTAAGTCGATTTTGATTTTTGATCAGTTTTTGATGAATATCTCAGAATTTAAGAGAGATAGCAAAATTTTTCTCATGACCTTTTTTATAGAACCAATTGAGGGCTATAAAAAGGTCATGACAAAAAATTTTCTATCCCTTTTAGATTCCGAGATATTCGTCAAAAACTGGCCAATAGTCAAAATCAACTTAACCCGGTTTACCGCTTCGCTACTGAATTTATCCCTATTATTCCTTTTGCCAGGCAACAATGGAGCTGGAGTANGAGGGCTATAAAAAGGTCATGACAAAAAATTTTCTATCCCTTTTATATTCCGAAAAATTCTTAAAAAACTGGCCAATAGTCAAAATCAACTTAACCCGGTTTACCGCTTCGCTACTGAATTTATCCCTATTATTCCTTTTGCCAGGCAACAATGGAGCTGGAGTAATAGATTTCACAAATCCAAAGGCCGTTAGCTGGTGGGTGGGAAGATTGAAAGCCCTCGAAAGACTGGGAATAGACTCCTTCAAATTCGATGCTGGTGAGTCATCATGGCTCCCCCAGATATCCGAATTGGCTGGAGCACCCGGATTGAAACCAGGAATCTTCACCAAGGATTACGTGAATGCGCTTGCGATCAACTTCAACAGCATGATCGAGGCTCGAGTCGGCTGGGACTCGCAGGACCTCCCGATCTTCATCAGGATGATCGACAAGGACACGAGGTACACTTGGAACAATGGGCTGCCAACGTTGATCACGACCCTCCTGCAGATGAACCTGGCGGGGTACGTTTGGGTTCTTCCAGACATGATCGGGGGGAATGGGTATTTGAATGGATCATTGAATGGCACTTTCCTGCCCACGAAGGACCTCTTCATCAGGTGGCTGCAGTGCAATGTGTTCATGCCTTCTTTGCAGTATTCTTTCGTCCCTTGGGATTACGATACCGAGGTAATTGAATTCATTGGGGACAATAGGTTTTTTCTTACGATTATCCCCGTGTTTTTCATCATAATGTTCATGATATTTCCCAATTATTGAAAAAAAAAATCGAAGTAGCTGTAGTACACAGCTTAGAAGATAATAAATAATAAAACGGTCCTTACGATGTTCTTAAAAACGAATCCGTGGTAGATTGATAAATTCCGAATATGATGATTTTTTTGTAAAAAATGAAATGATTTCTTACTTTCGTGAAATCATTTCTTATTTGATTCAAACAGTTATTGTTGCCTTTATCAATAAAATATGAGGATAGAAAAACTCAATAACTTATGAGAAGATAATAAATTAAGCCATTTAGAATTTTTTCTGAAAATCTATAGGGATTAATTTTTGAATGGTATTGTCTTGGGATATATCTTCAAAACCCCGCTTATTATAAGAGCCTAAAGTACTGGATTCCAGAACTAAAGTGCCTTGATTTAAGTACCATGGGTACTGGATAATTATTTTTCCTCAATTTTTAGACGGTTACAATCAGCCGAAAATTCACGGATCTTCATGCTGAAATAGCGCCGACTATCCTGAGACTCATGAATGTAACGGTCAGTACTGGAGCCCCACTGAATCCCCCCATCTGGTGGGTCGACCCTACCGATCAGGAGGCTCACAAAATCAACGATGGTAGGATTGATAATAACGAAAAGGAATAATCGCAGTTGAACGAAAAATTGACGAACTTCTTTGATTTACAGAGTTCCTCCTGGGAGAGGAAATCCTCGTAGCCCCAGTGATTGAGGAAAACGTGAGCTCTCGCGACGTCTACCTGCCTAGAGGGACCTGGAGGGATGCTAATACCAATCGTAGTTATGTCGGACCAACTTGGATACGAAACTACCCTGCACCACTGAACGTTCTCCCATGGTTTAGAAAACAAGCATAATTTTTGAATGGTCTTATCGAATGCAAAATGTTATGTAGTTTATATATCTAAGGAGGAATGATCGATTGAAAAATCATAAAAATACTGTGTTATCAATAAAAACATCTGAATCGTCCGCTGTTGTTGTTGTTGTGTTAGATACACGATCGAGATAAAGAGTATGAACAAATTGAAAACAAAACATGAAGTCAGATAAGTAAATATTGGCAATTCCTCATCAATCGACTGATGTGACACCATTCGAGGAGAATTAAACAAGGATTGCTGATCCTTTGAATGTTAAAATGAAGGGATGAATATCTAATCAAATTCATTCAGTAAAATGAATACATAATCCAATATAATATAATTTTGATAAAATGAATTTATTATTTCAGCGAGAAACCAATAGAGATCGTATCTCCGAATTTAGCCTAATTATTATTGCATCGTCAGTGCTGTAGCTTCCAGTCTTCAATAATGTGTCACGCTCCTCAATGAGCTTTCGCAGTCTTTCCTCCTGTTGACTCGATTCCTTGGAGTGCTGTCGTCTTCCATAATCCATGTTCGATCGAGAAGAACACTCGTAAAGACTATTGAACTCTTCAGGATTAATCGTATAAGAGGGTTTTGGTTTTATTACATTGATTTCTCGTTGAATTTCGTCGAGGAGGAGCTTGTCGTTGGAAAGGGCTGCTGAATCTGCTTGGAGTAATTGTTCTAAACTGAAAGATTAATTAGAAATTTATCTCACTCGATTAGATTAACAAATTCATCAATAAATAAATAGAATTAATGAGTTCATCGATTTGTCTACTTTAATTACCGAATTATCAAGCACATACTCAATATTTTTAAGCTCCTCCCTGCTCGATTTAATCTGGACCTCCAACGCCTGCTGATGCTCCATCTTCAACTTGTGAATCTCCCTCACAGCCTTTCCCCATTGCTCCTTAAAAAACGTCTTGCTCTTCATGGTACTTTCGAATTTATCTTCAAGACTCTGCATCTGCTGCAGAAGATTCTCCGTTTGCTCAGAAGTGAGCGAGCCCTTCTGATATTTCATCAGCTCCTCATTCTGCTTCGAGACAATCTTCTGCAGTCGATTATTCTCATGTCTCAGCTCGGATATCTGTTCCTCAAAGGTCTTCTTCTCCTCCTCCAATCGAGATAATTTCGAAGTGTAGTCCTCTCGCATCCTCTCAGATGCGTCGTTCAGATCTCTCAGTTTTCTGTCGCACGTCCACTTCAACTCTTCATTCGCCTTCATCAGTTGTGCCTCCTTCTCCATGCTCTGTATTCTCCTCGTTCTCAAATCATCAGTGGCTTTGTTTAAATTACTAGCTAGAATTTTACATTGTTCTACACTACAAGCCAGTTGGGACTCTAATGATTCCCTTCTCCTCTGCCATTCATCACTCAATAGATTCAGATGTCGTTCTTCTTTCCGTTGTAACTCCACTTTGAACATCTCCTGCTGTCGCTCCTTCCACGTCTCCAGTTCGTCCACTATTTTTGACGCTAGGGAGTCATCTAGAACTGGTGGCCCCAGATTCTCACTCCAACTGGACTTCGTGGTCCTGTAATAGGGCCCATGATCCTCCAGGTGCATCTGCACTTGTACATAACCGATTTCATGACGACTGGAATCGAATAAAACCGCTTCGTACTGACATTTCAATTTGGAATCGCTCAATATTCGCTTCACGTCAAGGATAGCCTGACCCAAACAGCTTTTTTCTATCTTCTCCTCATCCCGAATACTTATTCTCGGTGGATACGCAACTAGCAAGTGCTTGATCTCCTCAACTGAAGAGATAAAGTGAAATTTACAACCGATATCCTGCAATCTCAACGTCTCACCCATTCTCACTGGCATTCTCGGATAAAGTGTGGACATAACTTCAGCCTTGGGATGATGAAACCTGAATTCAATATTTTTTATCGATTCTGATTGCAGCGTTACAGTGTTCAGTGTAACGTGGAGACAGTAACAGTGATATGCTTCGACGCTCTTTGTACAATCCTTTTCACTGCACGAGTGTGTTATCTTATTTCCTGGACGCTCTTGAGGTATTTCAAAGTTGGAAAAATGATTCATCTTGCTTGTGCAATCGGTCTCATGTCCACTGCGTAAATACTTGGGTGAATCATTGAGAGGATTTTGATGATCCGTTGTAACAGAGAGCTTTTGCATCATCTGGAGATGAAAAGGGCGCATTATGGCTCTGTTATGGGCTTTGAATTTCTTGTTCAGTAATGAAGCAGGGAAATGTAACAGAACAAAGTTTGAGGGTGAGGTTTTTGCAAATCAAACGTTGAAGTACTTCATGTTTTTTATATTAATGTATTAGACTGAGCAATGATTCAATCGATTTTAATTCAATTCATTTAAATCATCACTGAGTTAAATTTATTTCGACAAAATTTATAATAATGTTTTGACCACTAGTGAAGTCCTCAGCATCCCCTTCAAATGGCTGATGACTGTCTAACTATTGAAAATTTTTGGCGAAAATTGAAGGAAATGGGCTTCTTTACCCGTTTTTTTAATAAAAATGTTTAATGAAAAATGTTTAATAGAGCAAATCAGTAGATTTTGATCTTTTTATTCAGATTATGGACATTCATAGGAATTAGTAAAATTCAGGTAAATATCTTATATTGTCAATTTTTAATTAAGTGAAAATTTAGGGTAATTTGACATGAAATATTCTTGTTTCGATTGACAATTGAAGTAAGTTAGGGAATTCACATCTTCCGGTTCCTAAAAAATTTGGAATTCTCGTGAATTTTCAGTGGAATTTAAAATTCCAGTCATTCTAACAGTGCAAACCGACACATTACTATGACAAAACATGAAATCTTCTTAGATTTTAAATGATTTCCATTGTTTTTATTTCAATTATCTCACCTACAAAAATTGTCGCGAGAAATCTTCCCCTAAAATTATTCATTTTCGAAATAAATGAACAATTACCAGGTTTTGGCAGTGATTTCGACCGCTTCATTACTGAATAACCATCATATTTTTGTAATTTACCGTTTCTAAATTTTTATTAGTCGAACAGGAATTATTGGGAAGGGAATTCACATGGACTCCATCGCCCTGATTGCCGACACACGTGAGAACCAATTGTAAATCAAGATACGGTTTCTCCTCAGCATCAACAGTCTCATCTCTCCTATCCAAAGTCTTCAGGAAGCACCGTTCATTCAAAAGGACTTCCCGACCCCCACAGGTGTCCACCCACTGCCCTGAACTACCCCCCGACAAAAGTGTCTTCAAATCTACCTCTGACTCCCCCAAGATACTCTCTCCACACTTGAGAACAACAAGAAAACTGGGCTTCTGTTCTACATAATTTTTTAACACTGAGAAGGAACTTCTTATTCTCATGACGATCTTCTCGTTCAGGGGGAACACGTTGGAGTCAATTGTAAAAGGTTTGGACTGGAGTTCATTGTCCAGGATTTTGTACCAGAAGGTGAGGACTTTGGTTGAGCTATTTGGAGATGCGGGTTTCGGGGAGATGAGGTGAAGATTGGCAGTCGTTCCAGCCAAGATGTTCAAAAGGAATAATTCCCGGTTGGTTCTTATGGGACCGAGTTGAATCAATCTCTCTTCAGGGATTACGTAGGGCATTGGGAGGTCATTCTCTTCAATTAATTTATGTGACTCTTCATCTTTCTTCTAAACACCAAGATGAGAACGAATTCATAAAACTGCACATGCGGGAAATTCACTAACAATTTTATCGGATTTCTTTTGGGGATGGAGTGAAAATTCTATCTGTTCTTCGCTGATTCTATTGAAAAATTACCGAGTTTTTCTTCGAGTGGAAATCGTTCAATCAAAAGAAAATATTCAGGACGAAGAGTTAATGGATATTGTTTGTTTTATACAAATAATTCTGAGGAGATGATTTCTGTAAATATTCCTCGTTATTAATTTTTCAGGTTCTTTTGCGTGAATTTTTAAATGGAAGAAAAAAAACTGCAGCAAGAAAAAATTGGAAAACTGCAAAAAATAGCTCAATAGAAAAATAAAAATGCTGTAATTAGAGAGATTCAAAATATTTGATCAGTCTCTACAAAGTCTTCTTCGAGATTACTTTTACAAAAAATCCCCGGCTCGCATTTTCCAAATTTTTCGCTGGAATGTTTAAACAAAAGGCGCAAAAAATGCAGTAAAAAAAATTTAGGAAATTTACACCGAGGAACCAAGCTGAAGGGCCTCGGGGGATGGCCAGTCGTAAACTTCTTGTCACGGATTCCGTTAAAAATGAAAGAATATAGCGAGAGAAAAGAAAAATACCGATCTAATAATTCTTCCCTATTGAATAATTCTGCTGGAACTTCCAGTAGAATTTTCTAACTTCTTTCGTTCATTAATACGAAACAAGGAAAGTCGTTTCGATGATTTTGAGGCATTATTATCGTTATCAATGGGAAAACAGTCACACTTTATCTTCTACTTCATTCAATTTACCTCTGAACACCCAACCTCCCTGGTATCCATGTCCTCAATGGTCAACGAGAGTGAAAATTCTGGCTTATCACCTTTCACATCGTTCCTGAGGCCCAGCAGCCTATGCCAATCCGTCTTAATGGTACTCTCGTTCCCCCGGGGGACAATTTGCGCTGATCGCAGGCTCAACAGCAAGTACCCGATCTTTTCCTTCACGCCGTTCTCTTTGAATTCGATGCATTCGAGTTTCAACGGCTCTTGTCCCGATCGCATCCTGTTATTTTTTTTAAATTGAATGGGTGAATTGATGGGGAAATTATTCCCGTGTATTTCAGTCACTTCTATTCGCGGTTTTAGTGATATTTCTTACTTTCGAAGGGTTGTTTTTGTCGCCTCCCATACTAGATCGGTAGCGTACACGGGGTTTCCTTCGGGACTGATTAAATCTGTTTCTAGTGATAATCCGTTCAATGTCGCGATTATACTTGTTGGATTTGCTACTTTATCAAAGCCCTTCCCTGCAATGAATAATTAGATATGCTGTCACACGTGTAATGGAGTGCATTACGTTTTGAAGAACAGTTTTCGATCGGTGAGAACTTGAGATCGTCAGAGTGAATTTCAACGATTTTTTCTCATTTTGAACCTTGGAAAAATGAGAATCCTTGGATGCAAGAATAATGAGATTTTCAAATACCGTTTTTCATCGTTAATCCCTTGAGCTCCTTAGAGTGAATTCCAAAAATTTTTCTACATTTCGAAGATTGAAAAAAAGGCTTTAAAATAAAATAATAATTATTGAATTCTCTGCAATTATTGGAGCCCTTCCCTGCAAGAATAATTGCATATGCTGTCAGACGTGTAATTGAGTGAGTCGAATTTAAAAAATTGTTTTCATTGAGTGACTCAAATTTTTAAAAACCCCTTTAGATAATTAATAACTTGAACTCCTCAGAATGAATTTCAACAATGTTTCTTCATTCTGAGGTACGAAAAAACAACTTTAAAATGGAAGAATAATTGTTGCACTCCCTGCAGTTGATAAAATCTTTTCCTGCGTGAATAGATTTGTTGTCGATTATTAGATATGTGTGTAATTGAGTGAGTAGAATTTAAAAAATCCCTCTCAATCGTTAATAACTACAAACCCTCAGAATGAATTCCAAAAATTTTTCTTCATCTCGAAGATTGAAAAAATTGCTTTAAAATGGAAGAATAATTGTTGCACTCCCTGCAGTTGATAAAATCTTTTCTGCATAAATAATTTGTTGTCGATTATTACATATGTTTGTAATTGAGTGGGTAGAATTTAAAAAATCCCTTTCAATCGTTAATAACTACAAACCCTTAAAATGAATTCCAAAAATGTTTTCCTTTCCCCCCGAGCTATCTCTTCAACCCTCACAATGAGCCCTGATTCACCCGAATCACATCATTAAACCACTAGAAATCGATCATTCAGGAACCTCCATTTTCCCTCGCCTTACGATAAAATTGCTTTATCCCACATTCATCGAACGCTCTTCAAATAAGCGATAATCATCCTCCTGAAATATTGAATGATCCCCTCGCGGCGGCTCAAACAAAGTGATACGATACCAGCATGACAGCACTGGTTTCCCGCCATTTCCCCCCGAGAGGTTACATGAATAATAAAAGCCCCGAAAAAAGCCGTAATTACCTTCCTTGAGACTCAAAACGACCTGGACACTGCTCCCCACCAGCTGCTCCATTCTCGTCCCTCACACCGTATAAATAATAAACAATAAACTCCGAAAACCGTGTAATAGGCCGAGAACCGAGCGGTTGTGGCCGGCTGCCATGGAAACAGCGACCTAACTGCGCGTTGACACCGAAACGAAAACAAACAAAATGGGGGGCGAAGTGGTGCCCCGAATTTTCAGCATTTCCGCGACTCCCCCGGTCACTAACAACTCAAATGCACATCAAATAAATTAATCCCGCGTGAACAATCAACACTTCGAGCGCAAAAGAACCGAAAAACTCAAGAAAATGAAGAGGCAAAATTCCCCCGCCCGTGAGCGTGCGCCATCTCGCGAGCACTGGCTCATCCAAAATTAAAAGGCTCTTTCCATGAGTCGCCAATAACCCGTGAACGTGGTAGGCCTGCCGGGTTCTCCACAAAGAAAGAAAAAAAAACCTCCAGCCAATGTACATCGAGACCCGCTCCCAACCGTTTTATCCGTGTCGGCCAAAGTGGCCAAGTTGGTGTAGCCCGTGGGTGAAGCCAAAGTGTTTCTTGTGGTTGTGGGCCACGGGGTGGTGCCCAAAAAGACTCCAGTGAATTAGTGCCACAATGCCGTAAATTCTATAAACCGAGCCCAACAAATTGTGAAAATTAATAGTCAAACAGATCAACATTAAATCATTTTCGGTGGATTAATGAGGTAGTGCAGCACAAAAACATCTCTATCTTTTTGGCCCCCCCTCCTCCCGCCCCTGCCCCGTCAGTTGTCGTTCAAGTTGGCTACCGTTTGGTGTCGCAAGGATAACCGAGGGAAGGTGGACGAGAAGTTTTTTTTCCTCCCAAACAGGCAATGTGAAAATAATACAATTGTTTCCATCACTTTATTAATCCCCCGGAGTTCAATGCACCGTGGAAACGAGTTTTATCCCGTTGATTCCTGCATCGTCGGATAAATCTTCAGGCGTTTTGAGCTTTTTTTTTATTATCTGGAGGTATTGTCGACGTCTGTACGCAGTTGCAGCGGGGAAATAAGTGGTAAAAGTGGTGGAGTTGAGGTGCAAAAGGAGATACTGTTGTGGGAGATACGTTGAGTCGAGGGATTGTGAGAGAATAAAAGTGATTTACAGCAACTGGCGATGATCCATAATGGTTGTATGGGGGTACACCCTGCCCGAAGACGGGTCCACAGTTGGGGATGCCCTGGACAGTGACTGAGGTTCGTGTTTGCTCCCTCATTGAGCTTCTCGACCGGCCGGGTTTTCCGTAAAAACCGGTTGTACATTTTTTAAAATTTTGTATCAATTTTTTTGTTCGGTTTGTCAATCTCCAGTCTCATTTCCCGTCCTTTTTTTAATGCTCTCCATTCTCAATAATTCATTCCTGTTCTCCCTGGGGCAACTGTTATGAGGGCGAGCGCCCCATTCTGACACACAGCTTGAGTTGGTAACCATTGACAATTCCCTCAGTTTCTCTCATTATTGGAATAAAACGTGGAATTGCTGGAGTTGTGGAGGTGAAATGTTTATTTCGTTTTATTTTTCGTGCCTTGTGAATGTGGGGGTATGAGCTAGTGGTACTAGGGGGATTTGTCAAACTTGTGCCTATTTGTTTGCGGTAAATCGTGGAGTGGTCAAGAGACAGGGGAGTTTGGCAACAGGGCAGACAGGTGATTGCTCCAGTGAGTTTTCACCCTTTGACCCTGACACAACAATTGCAACAACATGGGAATCACATACCCAACGAACAGCAGCTACTGCCAGTACTGACAAACTGTGAAATTAGGAAAATAGGGAGGGCATAGTAGGGTGGTAGTTGAGTTGTGTTGGTTCTGGTTCTTCGCTAACAAGGTGGGACCAGACTAGTGCATAACTTTCACCAGTAAAGATGCAGAAACGCGACGGTAGAGAGACAAGAGGTGACAAGGATATGACCAGGGGTGGTGAGAGAGAGCGTGAACAGGAAGCTGCCAAAAGAGCATCGAGAGGAAGTGGTAATGCAACTAGATCCAATATGCATACGTCCAGGCATAGTGTCACCTCGACGTCGGGGATTCTCATGGTTGGACCCAACTTCCGAGTTGGAAAGAAAATTGGCTGTGGTAACTTCGGGGAACTTCGACTCGGTGAGTCATTAAATTTATTCTTATTCATCTAATTTTCGGCGGAAGGTGGGAATAGTTTTGGGATTGCTTTAATTAAAGTGGATGAACGTGCACTGGGGGAAGGACAACTGGTAGTCCAACGGAGAGAAGTGAACAGGTTCTAGCAAGTCTTGTTTGGGCCAAAAATCGCGTTTAGAAACTATCAAAAAAGATGGTTTATTCGAATTTAAAAGACCCGAACATTAATAATCGCTCTGCTTTCGGCAACAACGAAATATTTGCATGGAGAGAAAATGTGGACGTCCGCTTGAAAAGGGCCCACTTTGTCTATTTTAGTCTACGAGATATTCATGTTTTTTTCTCTGCAATTGTCAGTTAAGCCAATTTTAAATTACATCTTCGGTTGTCAATATTATCGGAGTATACATAGATTCATGCCGATTAATTAGACCCTTTTCATGCGGACGGCCACAAAGATCTCTTGTGAAGAAAAATTTATCAAGGAATATTTTGTCCCTAACGTAAAAGAGAGCTAATTTTTTTTAATTCTGGTGCTAGTACTGGAAAAATTACTGAAGTGAATTAGAGAAATTCACGTGTTACCCAGTAAAATTTAATTGTTTCATTATTATTTAATTTAAGAATTAATTCATTACCTGTAATTGTTGAATACTCGAAACAAACAGCTAGTGTCTCTTGTTTCGAATAAATCGAACATTTTTTTGAACTTTTAAATGTATTTTGCTGACAGGAATTTTTCATGTCAGGACAGTTCTCAAATGGTCAGCCCTATTTTCATTTTTTGGTAATTTTTTACAATTTTTTTGGTTCAACTGACACTTGTTTGAGAAAATATTCTTCTTTCTCTCAGTGTAAGTTGTGAGAAGTTTCGAGATTGCTTCAATTATCGTGGATGAACGTGAGGAGTTGATGAAAAAAATAGAAACTGTTTTCGTTAATGAGAAACTAAAACCGAGTGATAATTAAATTTTTTATCTACATCAATATAATTCAATCTCCCTCGAGAATCTTGGAGGTGAATGGAAATTCAATATTCCCCGGTAGAAATAAACTTTTCACCTTTGATATTCAAGTTCCCATAAGAACAATTCAACATCTCAGCGAATTGTGAATCCATTAAAATTTAAAAATATATCGGAATGTCTAATGAGTCGATCTCAAATTACGAGAGAATGAGACGGAAGAATTGAAATTTGCTGGGTTGCATTGTTCGGTCGTCTTATTCCAGTATTTCCCCGCATTGTTATTTTTTTATTATCCTTCCAAGATTGGAGACTCATCAGAGAGACATTGCAGTGACCTTTTTCATTTGGGTCAGAGGGGAATGTCTCGTGTAAACAGAATGAGTTATCTCGATCTCGATAATAACACTGAATGGAGCATTTCCGTCCTTTGGCTTAATCCGTAAATTTTTGTGTTCATCTTTCTCTCGCAGAACTCTTATTTAGAGATAACTCTATTCGTTGTGAATCCATGATTTCTCAAATAAGGGGTGGGCGGAGAAAATGACCGATCATTTTGCCCACTGCATGCATTGCGTGTTAACCCATCGGCTATTTTTTCACATGTGAAGATTTTTGACTGAAATTTCCGATACACTTCTAAACAAAAAATAAATTTTTATCATATTTTAGTTTCACTGAAATTTTGAAGAATTTCATGAAAAAAGAAAGACAATTGTGAATTTCAGTTTAATTAACATCCATAAAAATATATGAAAATATATGTAATATATTTTCATATATTTTGATATCAGAACTTGATTTATCTTGACACAAAATTTTCAATGAAGGTTGCCGTGCGACTAAATGGAAATAACCGAAAATTACGGAAATAATTCTGCATTTCTATTGGTTGACATTCACACGGGGAGATGAGCAGTGAAATGTGAAATTTCGTAATTTGTTTCCCCCTAAAACGCATTCAATGTCACTTTCTGAAAATTACTAGTCAACTGTTGACGAATATGAGTCTGCGAATAAATATAGTCTGCATATTTCAAATCACGGAAGGAAATGAAATTTTCAATTCGTCAATAGATCTTTTCGCTTGAGAACTCAAGAAAATATTTATTCGACCGATAAAAAAATTCTCATGAACATGAATATTCATGATTTCATACATGAGAGCTATCAAAAATGATGAATTATACGTAAAATCCCCGAAAGCCCCCAAAAATCTCGTGACCTCGCAACTAAAAAGGCCAATTGAGGTCAATCTCTATCCATTAGAACCCGGAAGAGCTGTACGTTTTACGGAAAAAAAATCCCCATCAGATCGAAGAGTTCAAAAAAACCTCGAGCCCTCAGAATCTCCTGGAACAGTAAAAATTATCAAACGTTCGATCCTCATAAATATCCACGTCACCTCGTATTTGCATAGATCCCAACAAATCTGGTTTTAATCGCCTCATGCATTGATAAGTGCCCCGTATAACTCGTATATCGATCGGAATAATTCTATAATAAGACTCGCAGCCGGGGGTGATCAGAAAAACCTCCATAAAAACCGGGAGAACAAAATCAAAACAATCAAAATAAAAATCGACCCATGAGACCGTTCAAACGCGCGCAAATGCATCATAAAATGTCGCTCTAACGTGTCTATACCTGTTATCAGCTGATTTTATCACTGCGCAACGCTCATCACTGTTATCTCGGAGTTGTGTACACTTAGGGGCTCAAAACTCTAGTCATCCAGTTCTAGAACTGATTAATGAACAAAAGAGGGAGAAGGAGTAACAGTCGAGCGAAAAATATTATTCGAATTATCTTTAACACCAATGGGCAACTGGAGTCACGATCGCACATGAATTCTCGTCACGAGACGGTGACAAATATAACCTCGGACAGAAGCATGAATATTAAACGGAAAAATACTTTGTATACAAGTATTGTCTCTGTGATGAGGAGGCGAGAATGTAATCCTCAACTATTGAGACGGAATTCAAGGTACAGCTGTACACTCAGCCGCATACTCGTGAAATAACATTAATTACGAGGGGAAACAATTTCATTAGTAATAATTCGTTGAATAATAATGCGCACGGGAGGGAGCATAAAGGTGGAATGAAAAAAGGGGAAAGTGTTGCAATGCGTTTCTCTGTTATTTCTCAGCTGTGCTTACACTTGAACGTTAATATCATCAATTTGCAGCGGCAATTATAGTGAATGATTTGATAACATTTGAAATACATTAGGAGAGAATGATTGGAATTTTATGGATGTTGAATTAGATTTTGGGGAAAACAAATCATGGAATTTTAGATTGAATTGAAAATTCAAGAATTTATTTACTTGAATTTTTCTGATTTTGATTAATTTTCATGGAGTAATCGCGCTTGAATGTCCATTTTACACCTACTTTTTCATAAAATTGTGAATTCTCAATGACGAAATGCCTTGAATTCCCCGTAGAATTTAACTTCATAAAAATTTCAACAGTGTGCATTCTTTATAATTCGCCAGAAGAAAATAGATATGACAAGGAATTCAATGAAATTCCGCATTATTGAGCAGCAGGAAGACAGAATGTTCCTGAAATCTCTTGATTTCTATTAATTTTCAAGGAATAATTCAACTTCAGTTTCCATTTTCCTACTTTTTCATTAAATTGTGAATTCTCAATGACGAAACACCTTGAGTTTCCAGTAGAACTATAACTTGATAAAAATTTCACTGTACGTTATTTAATATTCACCAAAAGAAAATAGATATAACGAGGTATTCAATGAAATTCTTCATTTTTCCCATCTTACTTAAATTTTCTATCAAAACATGAGAATTCAGTGCAAAATTACGCTGAATTCTCAATTGCTTGGAAATTCAAGAATGTATTTACCTGAATTTTTCTAATCTCTATCACTTTTCAAGAAGTAATTCAACTCAAATTCCCATTTCCCTACTTTTCATCAAATTATGAATTCTAAATTATGAAATGCCTTGGAATTCCAGTGGAACTATAACTTGATAAAAATTTCAACGCTGTACGCTATTTACAATTCACCAGAAGAAAATAGATATGACGAGACGAAAAAAACATGTTCTATGTTTAGTTGAATTGTTAGTTTGATAACGGAATCAAGATAATGGTTATTCCTCCTCTCAGCAATTCAATGTGTGGGTAACAACAGAAAAGTGGCTGGCACTTCCTTCAGCAAACGGGTCTCCTCCTTCGTCCTCGGTGCGAAACGAGTCGAGACGGCCCGAGAGACAACCAAAGACCTCTTCACAACAGTAACTCACGTTAGTGTGTATGAATTCCCGGCGCACCACCTGGCTGCATACCCTTCTTTTCAGCCAACTGCACCCATGACTCTCTCTCTCTCTCTCTCTCTCTCTCTCTCTCTCTCTC